AAAAAAAAAAGAGCTCATATTAAAAAACTATTTACACAGTGTAGACTGGATATACTGGTTTCTGATAAGACCCTACACATACTTAACGTTTGACAGTTGATTTCCATCTGTTGAACTAAACACAATATGAAGCCGAAAACACTGTGTTTATCCTTCTTCATGGTGGGTAGGTATTAAAGAATTCTCAAGAGCATTGGAAGCTGGAAGTCGACTACATACTCGATAGAAACTGCTTCCTAACCCATTTGTAAAGGCATAATTATATTGAAATATGTTACAAACTTTTCTTTGCAGGGATTCTTCTTGCCTCTGAAATGCCAAGCGTCTATGGAATGTATTCAACTTACGAGTTGGTACGCCTTGCAGCAAACGAACTCATATATTTGAGTAGTGCTGTAGCTAATGGCATTAGCAATATTTTCTTAGGACCCTCCACAATTCCCCCGACTCAGGGTATTGGAAGCGAAAGTCGAGAAAGTGAAACCTATGTGGATACAGATTATTCGCAGGAAACAGAAGTTACCAATGAAGATAATGAGATGAATTACTCGGCAGAGAAGAATGGAAACGAAAGTGGAGAAAGCAAAATTTCTGGGGAGACAGATAATTCACAGGAAACAGAAGAACCGTCAGAAAAGCATGAATTAATGGAAAGGGTACTCAATTTGGAGAAGGTTTTGAATTTTCTTAAAAACAAATTTAGAGGAGCCAAGGGAAAGCAGTCAAAAAGCAAACACAAATTGTATAAAATATAGTACAATATGTCATTGGCAATATACAAATTTCTACGAATATCACAGTTTTTTACTTCACACAAGTATTGTGTGTGCTTAATGAAAATGTTAGAGAAGTGTAAATAAAAATAAGCGGCGAAGATTATGTACTACGGTCGAAGTGTGGCTAAATATATAGAATAAAAGGAATTTTTAAAAGTTAAATTAGTATTTTTATTTGCCAAATCCACAGTGTTTATGACAATGCACTATTGAGCCATGCAAATGAGAACAACAACATGCAAATGAGAACAACAATGGGGTACCCTAGAACATCGATAGGATACCAGAGAACATCGATAAGATGCCCGAAAACATGGGTGTGGTATGCCTGAGCATTGATGACATCGATGAGACACACGAGAACATCGTTGGGGTATCTGAGAATATCGACGGAGTATTCGTGAATATTGATAAGACACCGGAGTCCATCGTTAAGTTACATTGATGGGATACCCGAAAACATCGATGCGCAATCTTCTTCAAATATATCGGACTCAATTTTAGTTCACTGTCAGGTGAATTAATTTAATTTAAAACAAGTAAGGAAGGGCTAAGTTCGGATGTAACCGAACATTTTATACTCTCGCAAAGTCAAATAGTATACTCGTTTGAGATTTCTTTGTGGATTGTATATTTTCGGTAGAAGGTCAACCATAGGCACTGGGGTCCACATATTTAGTACTTAGGGCTTAAACAGTTTGTGTCTGATTTAGACAATTTTGCCGGTGTGGCATACTTAATCGCATTATTCACGCAAAGTTTTATCCTGATACAGTCATTGCTGCACGTATAGTGAAAGTGAAATAATCAGATGGAATTAAAATGGTGTTATGGGAAAGTAGGCGTGGTTGTAGTCCGATTTCGCCCATTTGCACCGACATAGAAACATGAAAAGAACGTTATGCACCGAACTTGGTTGAAATCGGTTAGCAGATCTCAAGATATGGGTTTTCACCTAAAGTATAGCTGTGCACGCCCACTGTCTAATTTGAACGCGGTTCCTATAAAGTCTATCTCATACCATCCCAGAGATAAAATTTAATGACTTGGCGTGTTTAGCGCTTGATTTATCGCGCTTTTAGTAGTTTTAACAGTACCGTTATATGGGAGTGGGAGTTACACCCGATTTCAACTTTTTCACACACCGTCAATAGAAGTGCTAAAACATTTGGTTCTTAGTGAATTTGTTATTATAGCATTAGCGGTTTAGGATATATTAAACCATTAGAGGCGGGGACCACGCCCACTTTTAAAAAGTTTTAACTGCAGATGCCCTTCCTATGTGATCCTGTGTACCAAATAACAGTCTGTATCTATTGCGGAGCTTAGTTATGGCGTTATTTGTTTTGATTAATGGCGTTTTGTGGGCGTGGCAGTGGTCCGATTACGCCCATCTGCAATACCAACGTTCACGTACACATGAAACATGTCTACCAGTTTCATAAAGATATCTCAATTTACCTCAAGCTTCACGACGGTTTGGACGGACAGACGACGGACAGGACGGACGGACGGACAGACAGTCACCCGGATTTCAACTCGTCTCTTCATCCTGATCATTTATATATATATAACCCTATCTAACTCGATTAGTTTTAGTGATACAAACAACCGTTAGGTGAATCGAGAGTATAAAAAGTAATTGACAGTCTTTTTGCCGAACTACCAGTATAATGTTAAAATATACCAGAGGAACGAACAAGAAATTATTTATTAATTAAAACTTTAATAGTACAACTAAACATCTGTAATAAGCAAACGGATATGTGTATATCTAAAACTCTTATCAAAAACTACAAGTCATTTATAAATATGGAGATATTAAAACAGCGAAATATTTAGACGTATTTGAGAACATACATAGATCTCAAAAACATTGCTCTAAAAAATTCATTTACTGAAGTAATAATTGTTATTGTAAATATTTCCGTTAAACTTCTTTAGCACAATTTGTAAGACTTTTCGCCAATGAATGACTTTAAGTCTACTATAATTGTTGTTTTTCATTTTCCTTGTTATTTTTCTTCCATCTCTGTAATAACTTGTGCTTACTCCGTTCTCTAAATAATAAGGAAAAGGGTAAAGGTGGGATTGAAGAAAAGTATCAATTTACCCACCACATTCTGTCATGAAAACCCTTCTACTCTAAGAAAGGAAGTGAACAACTTTGGACTATAGGGTTATTTAAAAATATAAATCTTTCTTTAAAGAAAAGTTCAAATTGTTTTTATTTATTTTGAAAAGAGGTTTCTTAAGAATGGAAAAAGTTTTTGTTGTTATTGTAGCAATCTGATGAACTGTGAAATAAAAACATTTAGCCATTGGTGCCACTCTCTTTCATAATCTACAATGCCTTTTTGCACCAAGTAACATTTTAAAGGATTCGGTTGGAGCCACTACTTTTGACTGACTAAATTTGAACTCTGTGTTTTTTGTAGCAAGTAGCGGCATTTGGTATTTTTGGATTTTTCTAGACCCCAATAAAATATTCTTTATATGCCGAATTACTTATTTATATAAGGCAATTATCAAAAAAGTAAGGAAGTTTTCAGGCAATTTAGTATAGATAACTCACACATTGACCGACATATTATGCATAAAGTCTAAAGTATATGTAGATATACTTTGCTAAGATATTTGTAACATCCAAAAGAAAACAGCGGAAACCCTACAAAAGACACATGTGAATGGTGAGCATGTCGAGCTGATTCGATTAAACCATGTCCGTCTGTATATATGCGAACTAGGCTCCATTTTTTGAGATATCGTTCTGACACTTTGCAGACATAATTTTCTCTACAAAAAATTTAGCGGAACCGCCGATATCGGACTATTATAGCATACAGCTGCCATACAAACTGACCGATGAAAATGAAGTTCTGGTATGAAAAGCTTTTTTTTACAATATATCTCCACGAGATTTAGCATTGATTATTGTCCAAGACAGTCCTACAACTAGCGATAATATTATTCAGATCGGACCGCTATACCTATATAGCATATACACACTGACCGATAAAACTCAAGATAAAGATCTTCATAATTATTTTTTTCTTTATTAAATAACTTCAATTCGACCTGAAGGTTGTTTAGATCAAACAATGTGGCTCGAAAGATACATTCTTTTGCCGTCATAATCGAGGTGGTCCCTGGTGGGTTCCATATAGCACACATGTTAAGGAAATAAGGATGTACTACTGTTCTACAGTCCAACAAATCGAAGTTACGCCATATCTTCGTAGTGTTTTTAACAAGAGGGGAACAAGTAATTTATTACACGGTCATCAACGCTGCGGAAAAATATTCTGAATAATTGAGATGATGCTTTATAATAGCGGGCTTTGGGACAGGGTTACAACAAATTCCAGACGTCATTCGAAATTTTTTTAAGCGCAATAACTATATGCTGTGGTCAATGAATTTTTTCCGAATTATGGGCGAACGACTCTTGGTTCCTTCATCACGATAATGCAAAATGTCATACTGCATTGCGACGATTTTGCCAAAAACTGAACTAATATTTTCCTCAAAGAATACGGTGGTATTCGCCAAATTGGGCTCTGTGCGACTTCTGGCTATGCTAGATACCATAAACACCGAACAAAGGAAGGTCTTGAAGGCTATACTGGAAAAATAATATTCCGACTGTTTCGAGGATTGCAAAAACCGTTGGCAGAATTGCGTTTTATTGGACGAAGATTATCTTGAAGAGAATGAATTTGATTTGGAGGTACAAATAAAGAATTTACATTTTATAGATAAATTCACCTTACTTTTTGACTACAGTAAGTAGTATATTTTCTTTTCTTCCGCTGCTGCACTCTTTCCTCTCTTGAAAACAAAGAAATTTCAATAAACCGATTCTGTTTATAAGGTTCAACTTCGTCTCATTGTTTACTTACGTTTAGTGGTGATTAATAAATAAGCTAGGTAATTGTATTGGAACCTATTGTATAAATGACACTAGTTCACAAAATTTACAAACTGAGGAAATCGCAATGAAAAGCAAGCCAGAATAGGCTAAGGAGAAATACCAAAATTCTTTCAGTAACACTTTATCAAGATATTGAGTATAAAGAGGTATGTATTTTGAACTTTCTTTGTGGTTTGCTTTCAAAAACTTTAAGTTTGCGTATTTGCGTTCATTTGCATTGACAACGTGAAATCTCCGATCAAGTTATAGTGGGGCTGAGGATTATGTTCCAGATACATTCAATAACATAAGGGATAGGTAAAAAGGGTTAAGCTCAATATTTGTATTGATAAAATGAGAGGTCTATATTGGAAAACAAAATAAAGAGACTGAACAAGGATATCTCAAAGTATTCGGTAGCGAGCCTAGGCATATTATTCACAGCGCCGAACACAAAGATGTTGTGCAGATTGAAAATTATGCTTAACCCTTTACCATGTGGCAACAATTTCGAAATTCGCGAAAAGCTCAGACTAATTTTTAACATTTATGTAACAGGTAAAGCTCAAGCGGTGCACTGAAAAACGTGTCAATATTTAAACTCACTACATGGAATGACGATAATTTGACAAAAATAGCAAACTTAACCCGAATTTTCAATACTATTCCCTTACAAACTGATAAGGTATTAATGAGAATTTTCCCTAGTTTTTGAAGGCTCATTAAGTTACGTAAAATATAAAAAAAAAATGAGCTCATATTAAAAAACTATTTACACAGTGTAGACTGGATATACTGGTTTCTGATAAGACCCTACACATACTTAACGTTTGACAGTTGATCTGCATCTGTTGAACTAAACACAATATGAAGCCGAAAACACTATGTTTATCCTTCTTCATCGTGGGTAGGTATTAAAGACTCCTCAAGAGCATTGGAAGCTGGAAGTCGACTACATAGTTCGATAGAGACTGTTTCTTAACCGATGGGCTAATTTGTAAAGGAATAATTATATTGAAATAAGTTTCAAACTTTTCTTTGCAGCGTTTCTTCTTGCCTCTGAAATGCCAAGCGTCTATGGAATGTATTTAACTTACGGTTTGTTACGTTTTGCAGAAAAAGAACTGATGAATTTGATCAGTGGTCTAGCTAATAGCATTAACAATATTCTGTTGGAGCGCACTACAATGCAGCCGATTCCAAAGAATACTGCTTTAAGCAATCCAGAACTGGTAGGGAAAGATGGAAGCGAAAGTGCAGACAGCAAAGTTTCAGAGGAGACAGATAATTCGCAGGAAAAAGATGTTACCGATGAAAATAAGGACACTGATAACTCGACAGAGAAGAATGATAGCGAAAGTGGAAATAGCAAAGTTTCTGAGGAGACAGATAATTCGCAGAAGACGGATAGTTCGCAGGAAAAAGATGTTACCGATGAAGATAAGGACACTGATAACTCGACAGAGAAGAATGATAGCGAAAGTGGAAACAGCGATGTTTCTAAGGAGACAGATAATTCACAGGAAAAAGATGTTACCGATGAAGATAAGGACACGGATAACTCGAC